AAGCAAGATGGCTTGAATTTCTGCTTTTAAAAGTTTTATAAAATACTTTGAAAACTTTCTTTATAATTTCAATAACAGAAGGACATTTTTAAGTTGCTTTAAGCTTCTAATTTCTATGAAATTTTTATTATTCCAAGTGTCAATTTTATTATTTTCAGTCCTTAATAATTCACTTTGTATTTTCTCTCTCTCCCACTGACCATAACTCGACTCAAATGTGGCATAAAATGACAGCATAAATACAAATTATCCCTCCCAAAAAAAAAAATGGAAATAAAAATAAAACACTTGCAATGCCTAATGGCATTTATTAATCCAATTGCAATTTGGCCGCTCTCTCGCGGGGGTCAGAGACCAAGAACCTAATAACATTAACGACCAACATTTTGCAAATCTAATGAGCCTCGACGGCATAAAAAAGACGCGCTCAGACGAAATTAAAAATAAAACGACAACAGACGAAGGGCATAAAGCAGCAAAACGAGGGCCAGAAATTGACGGTCCTTGTGGGTCATGAGCCACGACGGAATCCTGCCAGTGCTTGGACACTGGTCCCAAAAAAAATATAGACTTTGCCCTGCGACGAGGGTGCAAAATCAAGAATTAAAACGTCTTAATGGTCTGCGTCTTTATGAACCCCGCCGCAGGCCATGGGGATGACGACTCCTGTGCCCTGACACCATTACTTTTGATTCTAGTTTGGAATTTTCCGCTGGGTTTTCTTTTGGGGCTTCAGTTTTCCTCCAGTTCTCCTTCTTTTTTTAGTTTATTTTCATGTAAATTAAACAATCAAATGTTTGCTCCAATGCTGTTCAATTAACGCTTTTTTGTGTCTTTAAATTAATTTCAATTTTAGGAAATTTGTGGAATTTGAAGAAAGGAATTGGGAGACTTTTTGGTATTCCTTTTGCTAAAAAAATTAACTGGGGAGCCTGTTAATTATTTTTTTTTTAGGAAGTTAATTATAATAAGGTTTATTGGAATTTTATAAAATTTTTTTATATTAAGTATAAAATATATAAATACATTTTTTTAAGGCCGTTAGAAAATACCCCATGTAAAACTAAATATTATATTAAATATCTTTTAAAAATACATTACTTTATAATTTAATTATTTATAAAATATTTAAGCTCTTTACATTTTTAATTTTAAGCAATTTAAACTTAAAAGATAGAACGTTATGTCACAGATACAAAAGCATCTTCTACTGTTTATTGTAAGAAATATCCTAAGTACCAAATAATTACTGCTAAACTCCAAATTTCAATGGCACAATGGCCTCCATCTGTATGGTAATTTGTTTGTTAATGAAGCAATTAACGCTTCTGGAACATTTATTTTAATTTCAATTTGAACTCTGACAATCAGATACCGCCTGCCCCCGAAAGAGAACCCACGCCGAGGCGACGCTTTTGGCTTCTGTTTTGGCACGGCGGCAATTAACATATTTGCGCTTGATACTCGTACTTTAGGCCAATACGTATTGTAATCCAAACCGAAGGCATAGTCAAGTCGTGGGCCCACTTATCTGAACAATCAACAGTGGCTGCTTTTTTATATATATTTATGTGTGTATACCCAAGAGTGTGTGTAAGCCCGAAAAAGAACCCGAGGGCAGCAGCGGCAGCGGCAGGAGGCTGGGAAATACTGTGGGCGTGTCCAAGGCACACAGGCCGGGGAGTAAGAAATTTGCAACTGCAGAAGCCAAGTGCAGTGGCTGCCACCGGGATATCCAAACTGCTCCACCCACTTTTGTGCTAGGTAGTCGTCCAGAGGAAAAATAAAAATTTTCGGGTATCTAGCTGGGGATCTAAAGAGTGGGCGGGAGGTCTGTGTTGTTTTCTTTTTTTTTCTTGTATTTTTCTCCAGACTTTTCAACTCCAGCTGGGGCAAGTTTGCATGCCAAAAGAGCAAACAAGTTGGCTCTGGCCTGGCTCACTTGATTTACAACAGTCGCCACTTGGCCAGATTGCTGAGTTATGAGGCCGTTTTTATGCTTGGTATTAGGGTATGCTAAGCTGGCAATTATTGTTAGAAAATGTTTGGTATAACCAAAAAATATAACTACCCTTTTTACAAGTATAATGGAACCCATATAATATTTAATATATATTTTTTAAAATAAATATTATCTTAAAATTAACCTATTTACCAGGTACTACATAGTCATGTCCCTTGTTAACATTTCTCTAAAGGTTTTCATGTGTGTTTGTGTGGGCGTCAATTACCAGCTCATAAATTTCCATCGATTTGCTAACTATATAGCATATTCCCACCCAACTTTGGCATCTAATTGTTTATTAATCAACTCATTAATTAGTTGCTTTGGCTTTGCCATTTGTTATTTCACTGTTTTTAGTTTCTTTTTTTGTTGTATTTCATTGTTGATTTGTCCGTTCGCTTCGATAATTTTAATTAATTTGTGCAAAATGTATTTTTCTATTGCATTTTTGATTAGTTTTTCCGATTTGAACATGGAACATGGATATTTGTACTAACAATCAACAAAATAATTAAATGCATTCAAGCATTTTTAATTGTTGTTTGCGCTAATTTTGATGCTTAGGCGTTTTGGTCGGGGGCGATTGATGAGTGGGCGTGGTCAATGCGGTAAATGCCCTGCATTATTCATGTGTTTTTGTCGTAACTCGACGGCTGCTGCCCCCGATTGTCCTTTGGGCTATTTGTTAAAGCCCGGCTAAATGGTTGAGCGGTTTGGGCCAAGTCAATATTAGATGATTGGAGGTAATGTGGAAATATTTAAACTGGGGGAAGTTTGGGAATAGTTTTCTCTGTATTATATATGTATTAGAAAATACAAGAAGAAGGTTCAATACATCAAATGAACATTATCATTCCTTTATATATCAATAAGTAAATCTTAGTTAAATATGTATTATTTATGGCCCTAGGTATCAATCCCTATGGGCACTAATAAAAAATTAGTTTAGACTCATTAGAGTGTTCCTATCCACGGAAATCTTTAGTAAAAGGCGAAAGATTTATTCGACAATTGAATAGAAACCAGAGTAATTTGCTACCTTCAGCTAAGGGGCTCTCTAGCCGTTTTAAGCTAGAAGCAGTTGGGAATTATAATGTGACAGGAAGGGAATGCAAAGACACCCTAAAGTAGGCACCATTCATTTATAGGGGATGATCTTTAAGAGTACTTAGTAACAAGGAAATGTCTTGATTTCACTTAATAATAATTTTAATAACATTTTATGAATTGTTATATTTATTTAACCTTTTTATGTTTTTATTATTTGTATTAATTTTTTGTGTCTACAAATACAGGTGTTGAAATCTTGATTATAGCACGAACTGCACTCAAATTTATTGCATTTTATTTCCAATATTTAAATTATATTTAAATAAACCTATTAAAAATAATTTTCCCGCTTTATGTTGGTTTCTACAAAACTACTTGTCAAGCCAAAAATATTTTCTAAAAATCCTGAGCAGAAAAAAATCCCCCACCGAGGGGCACTTGAAATTTTCCAGCCAAGCAACAACCTGGTGGTGACAACCCAATCAACTCCGAAATGTATATGTTTGGGCACCAAAGCACGGCTTCCCCCCCTCTTCCATGTTAGATCTGCAACTGCATATTTTGTTTGACATCATTGTTGCACATGCCACGTGCTGCTGTTTGTTGCACCTGCAATATTTGTGGCAAAAAACGCCCCAAAAAGGCGGCAACATGCAACAACGTAACGGAGAGGCCTTGCAAAAAATGCAGCCAGCTGCATGTGCGTGCATAAATTACAGCCGCCGGTGGTTCTGTTTCTGTTTCAGTTTCTGTTGCCAGTGTTTGCCGTTGTTGTTTGCATCCAGCAATGAAGACATGATACGGACATAGGGGACAGCGGACAGGAGACACCTCCTGCAGTTGTGCAATGTTCCGACGGCCTTCAGGTGGTTTTAAGAATTGGGAGAACAAAATTTTAAGAATTTAATTTGAAGGTAAAATAAGATATTTATGTACTTACAAAAGGGTTATCTTATTAGTTATTGTAGAATTTAATATTTAAATATTTTATAAATATTAAAAAAAGAACCAATTGACATTCTTAAATATTTATATAGGTGACAAAACAAGCAGTTTTATTACTAAATTAACACTTAATTTCTTACCTTTTCTGTGGAATTTATCTTAGACTTTAGAGACTATATAGTTAATACAGTAATACACTCACCTTCTTCCTCCTTAATTAACTTTCTTGGACCAGCGTTTCGGTCATAAATCCATATAAATACCCTAACGACAAATGTTGTTATTATTGCTGCTGTTCCTTGGTGTTACTCCCTTTTGTCTGAAGGACAAAGCAGCGCGCCAACAATTATGTGAAAAGCTGGAAAGGACCAAGGCTAGTGCAAACAATAGTTGAATGTTTGCTGCCAGGGCGTTTCATAGTTTCCCATACATGACAGACAGCCCGAAAGGAGCAAAAGCCGACGGAGATAGAAATAAAATGCAGAGGGGGTGGCACTCGGAGGGTAAACATTCAGAGCGATGGCAAAAAGGATATCGCGTGCCGGCAAAAAATCACCATGTAAACACACGAACACACACAAAGAAAGCTTTCAGTTCGAAAAACCCCACATCTTTTAACACCCCCACACCCAGGAGCCGCATTACATGTGCACAATAGTCGCCTTTGGCGTTCAGGATCCTTTTGCCCCGTGTCCTGGCGCATTGTTTTGTTTTATTGTGATTTTATATGCCAGTCGGAACGTTTTGTTTTGGCATTTTTGGCAAATATTAGTTCCATTCTCGCGCTGTTGTTCGATGGCAAATGGAATGCTATTGTATTTCGTTTGGTTTTCTGCCAGGCTAATAGCTTTGATTGCAAAGGGATATTAACTAATGTCAAGCCAACATTAGTGTTAAAGTTGCCATAATAAAACACTGCTGAAATAGTATAATTAAAATTAATTCAGACTCTGATGAAAGCTGATCACGAAACAAAAATGTAAACACTCTGCACTTTTCGCTTAATCTCATTAGTTTTTCAGTTTATTTTAATCTCCTTAATGGTTGCATACATAAACAATTCATAAATCCTTAAACTAGCTAGAACTGATGCGTAAAATTATAGCGAAGAGCGTCGGTACTTAGGGCTGGTTCTTCCTCTCGGGATCTGCAAAGATTATTAAATTAGATACGTTTTCGGCAAGCTTGTTGAGTGAATTATAAGTCTAAAGCCGGTCTGGCGGCCGACACAATAATTACTAGACATTTATATTAAGTTTAATTGCAGGCAGGGGAGTGCAGCAGGCCATATACACGAAAAATGCATCCAATATGTATGCAATATGTAAAGCATTTTATGATTTATGCAACCCCACGAGCGAGCAGAGCTCCTCAAACCCACTAAAACAAAATCAACAAATCATTTTTCTGGCCAACGCTGACAGCTGCAATTTTTCACTGCTACCAACTGCGGACCCGGGCCAAAACACATGCAACACAAAGTCCAACTTTAAGGCGGCTATTCCCCCCCCCAATTGCGAAAGCCACCACCCCGCCCAATGAGTGCGTTCCCTCACACAGATTCCCCCCTCCAGGAGTCCTAAAACCGAGTCAATTAAATTCAATTAGATTCGAAAAACCACAAGCCAAGTGCATAACCTTATCGCTCGGTGCAAGTGGAAGTGCAAGTGCAATTCCAGGGGATATTATCCCCATTGTTAAAGTCCGAAGAGCCCGCCCCCTCGAGCTTGGCTGTCAATCTTATTCTAATTGAAATGCATACACACAACACACACAAATTGCCTGGGACTCGAATTTCGGCTCACAAATTGACTTTTACGCATAAACAATTGAAATTCTGCCGAGATTTCCGGTTGGGACTTAAGTCTCTCTCTCTCTCTCTCTCCCCCTGGAATTCTCGGGGGCCATAACCCCTTTTTGCGGCCAAAATCAACAAGTTAACTGCACTGCCGGGCACTTGGCTCGGCTGTGGGGCTGTCATTCAATTTGAGATTTCGAATTGACCCCCAAGGGGGCTCTATGGCAGTTATGTGTTTGGTTTCTCACTGTCTAATTGACTTCTGAATGGTTTGCAATTTGAGTTTCCTAGGGGCTTGGGGTCCTTTTGGAATTGCAAAGGAAAATGTTTAAGGGATTTTTCTTAAAGGAATTTAAGTGAAAAATTTTAGTTAAAAATATTTTTAGAAAGCGAATGGAAAGGCTAAAGTTTACACTACTTTAATGGTCAAATATAAGCTGTATTTTTTAATTTAATTTATATTTTAATTGGTTTTTTCTTCATCTAAATAGTTTAAACTCTTATTGAGATTTATTTTTGGTTTTGTATCTATTTTTAAATATATATATATAATATAATATATATATTATTAACCTTATACCCACTTTAAGCTTTCAAAATTGTCACCCAAAATTCCAAATAGGAATTTAGCAACACAATAAAAATATAATAATAAAGGAAATGCCTTCAGATATTTATATTATCTAAAAAAAAGACTAAAACATTGCTTGAAATACCTTTAGTTAAATTAATTTTTTGACACACAACCCTTCCGTTGTGTTAGCCTTTTCCTGGACAAACATTTTTGACATACTCTTGACTCACAAAAAATACTCTTTTTCACAAAATTTTCGGATAATATTTTCCTTTACCCCGCAGCGTTTTCGTTATCATTTCCCTTAATTAATTAAAAAAGTTGTTGCACCTTTTTCGGGCTCTTTTCTTTTCACCTTACTGTATTTTTTTTTTGTGTTGGCTCATAAAAAAATGTGCACAATTTTTATTTCGCACATGTGAAATTAGCGCTGCTGGGGCATGCCTTGTTAAAATATTTGCAAATATTTAAATTGACATTTTTCCGTCATGTTATGACTAGGAACAATGTCAATTTTGCGGGGTAACTCGCCTCAGAATGCCTCAAGGCCCGTCCCGGTCGTTTTTATCCCTCGTTGTTTTCATTTCACTGTTTTTGAGTGAGTTTAAAATTCCAGCAAGAGAGCGAAGAGGTGACTTTAAGCTGCATCGCGCACAACTAATCAAAACAAATTCAATTAAACGACACACGACAAGCCACGGATCGCATCGTCCAAGTAGGGTCTACCATATGCGGACTGGCAGCGCGGAGAGACCACCTCCTTTGGCTTATCTGGCAGCACAATCCATTAAAATTGCACATCGTTTACACCAAAAATCAATTCGCCAAAGCATTTAGGCATTACAAATGCCAAGCCAGCCACTGGGAGCTAGTCAGCTCCCCGGACCGGAGCCCAGGGTTTTGGGATTTGCACTCGGACTGGGACTGCGACTGCGACTGGGATCCCGCTTCAAATTCAACGTTGATGCCCATAAATTTCGCACACGGCTCCTCACCCGGCTTTTCTGTTTCTGTTTGTTTTCTGCTCTCTGCTCGGCTTGGCCCGGCTCCTCTGGTTGTATCTGCCTGTCCGTGGGTCTCTTTGTCTGCGGGGCTACCAAGCGATAAACGCAGGCCAGTTGGCATTGCTTTGAAATGTATCCGCCAGATACCGAGTAGTACAAAAGCTGCATTTGTGGAGAGCCAGTCGCATTGGCAGTATCGGGAAAAGTGGATGGGGACGGACGGATGGACGACACGACCCGACCCAGTTGTTGTCGCTGGTCAGTTGTTAGCAGCGGCTCTAAAAGGAGGGTTTCTAGGGGGGTTTTTATGAACAGATTTGGAGAATATTAGGTGAAGTTTAAAAATTAATTTTAATTTATATATATTTTTTAAGGATTTTTACAAAGAGTTATTTCTTATCAAGACTTTAGAGAAAATGTTTAAATATTTTATGAAATAATATTTGTAATAAAAAAGAGATATGTGAAAGGCAAATAGTATCTTTTGCTTTTTAAAAATATTGATTTCTTCCACCTCTAAGAAACCCCTTTTGCTGAACATCCAACTGACTCTCCTTTAAGTTCAGGCCGGTATGTCAGTGTCACCTCATGCCCCGACAAATTATGTCTATCGGAAACGCAGAAAGCTCAAAAAAAAGGGGGAAAAAACTAAAAGATACCCAAATCCAATGTCGTGTATCGACGGAGGCACAAATGCCTGTGCGGTGTGTGGTGTTCGGTGGCGTTGCTCTCGAGAGTGGCTCAGTGGTTCTCTTCGATTCCAGTGGTGTCAGTTTGTCGTGCGTTTTATTAGTGGCAACTCAAACAGCAAATTGAGATTAGAAGCCCGCCGACGGACGACTGACTGAGTAAGTGAGGCCATGAGTTATGGCCTGCATTAAAGCGCATCAAAGTGGCCACAGGAGGAGGAATGTGAAAACGAATAGTAAAGAGGTAGGAGGGGCCACCCATTAGGTGGTTAAAATAGGTGACAGGCTGACGAAGGGTTAAGGCTGGGAGTAGAGATCTGGGATCTACAATTATTATATGTTCTAGAATTTCCCAAAATTAAAATCGGTTTTCAAGTCCAAAGAAGTATCCCCTTCTCTTCGATTATTTTAAGCACCCATTTGAAACGCTTAGAGGACTTTATCCCACTCTTAAATCTCCATTTCCATTTATAGCAATTTACATTTGATTGCTGTTCAATCTACTTTCATCGCTGGCAACCCACAGCGCCTGAGCATGTGATATCCTTGACATTTATGAGATGCCGGCACTGTGGGAGCACCTCACCCCTATGGAGTTAACATGTTAGATGAACAATAACAAATGTCAGATGTGATTTGCATAACACCGTAGCATTGCTCATGAGTTTCTTACCTCCCTGTTGCTTCTGTCAGATGTCGTATTTTTTTTTATATTTTTATCATAAATGATAGCAATCTGAAATGTTTTTTCCCCTCGCTACCCGCATATAATTCACTTGATTCTCCTCATCCGACTTTCACTTACGAATCCATTTCAGCCCTCCTAAGGAGGGCGCAAAAAAATATGAAACAGAAAGGGAAGACAACATTAGGCCTTATTACATTTGACATGTTGTTCTCTCCCACCCCTCCGGGAAAGCAAAGTTTCTTTCATTTTGGTAGCCAGCCACCACCACCCCTTGGCTACAAATCAAAAGATAAATTGTTTTCGTTGATGATTTATATAGGAAAATGTTTTGTTGACTTCGCACCCAACTTTCTTTTCTTATCATCGCCACAGCGGCGTTGAAAGCGAGCAACAAATATTAATATTGTTTGTATTTCATGTGCTTTGTGCTTCTGTTTTCTGCTTTCTGCTTTTTATTTCGTTTTCAATTTGGCCAAGTCGGAGTGGGAGTCGTCCTGGTCGCATGTCAAATTTAATATAAATTATTGGCGGAAAATCGCCGGAATGGAATGCACAAGTTGTATCTCTAGATTACTCACATGGATTGGCCCTTTTCCAGGAGTGGGTGGGCATGGCCTTTAGCTCATTCTCGTAGACCTTCCTGGCCAGCACATCCTTGGACTTTGGATTCGCCTTGTTGCAGTTCTCCGACTCGGAAAAGTGGTCCAGATAATCATCGCGCTTGCAGTAGATGCACACCCCGTAGACGAACTCCTCCTCGCAGATGGTGGCATTTGTGGATCGAGCCCAGTCGGCGGCATTGTCTTTCGCCGCCCGGAACAGTTTGCCCACATAGATATGGGCAGTGGGTATCTGAGTGAAGGCATTTAGGGCAATTGTCGTTATCGGATTGTGCTCCAAATTGAGAATCTGAAGGTTCCTTAGCTTGTCAAAGAGGCCGCTGGATAAGGAATACAATTATTCAGGGGATTTCTAGTTTGATATTATTCTTAAGCTCACCTCTGAATGCGATCCAGATTGTTGTAGGCCAAGTGTATCTCCAACAGCAAGGGGGTATTGTGAAACAGCTGATTCGGCAGCCTGGCTATATTGTTCCGCTCCAATCTCAGGGTGAGCAGTTTCTTCTGTGACTTGAGGAAGTCCTTGCTTAGATAGCTAATGTTGCTCCTTATGCCAATGTAGGCCAACTGATCCGCCATCCAAAACAGCTCAGTGGGCACATTGTCACCGCAGTTGAACACCTCCACGGACTGCAGTTCGGTCATGTGCCAGAGGTCCTGCGGCCCAAAGGCGGACATCTCCACGCTGCTATTCTTGGCATCGCAATCGATCATCAGTTGCCTGAGCTTGGTTTGTTTGGCGAAGATCTCACCGGAGATCTTGCCCAGATTCTTGACCACAATATCTAGGTGGGTTAGGTTCTTCAGGGGATGCAGGATACTGCCAGGCAGATCACTGCTGCCCTTTAGGGAAAGTTGTTTGAGGGCTGGCAGTTTCTCCAAGAACCTCGCAGGCAGTGTGGACTTGTAGCCAATGATGGATACCTTCTTCAGGCTCTCGTGATCCGTATAATGCTGCTGCAGGACCTCGCCGCGATCGTTCTTCTTGGGGTCGAAAAAGTTGAAGATCTCTAGTTGCGTGTAGTTTGATACTCCCAGTTTACTGAGTAGATACTTAATGCTCTCGGCATTGGGTATGGCACAATTCCGGATGATCAGTGAACCTATATTGCCAACCTGAAGTGGCGGTATATAGCCGAAGCCCCGGGCATCGAATATAGTGCAGCTGATGCTATATAACTGGGTATCATCGCTGTGAAGCAACAGGTTCTCGCACTTGATCTCCTGATCCTGGCAATCGCAGAGATTGGACTCCTTGATGAGAGCCTCGCAGCCCGCCTTGGTCACATAGCTAGGGCTACGGATCGCTGTGGCATTCTCCTGCCACGAGGGAGCGACCACGGCCAGCAGAAGAAGGAGTAGCGGCCACATCCTGAGGCTGACTGAACGCTGGAAGGCCAAAGAAAAAGATTTTTAAATTAGTCTATTTACGATCCAAGACAGCTGTTCCCGAGGCAGCTCTACACCAAGGTGCCTTTCCCTGTATTTTCCTAGGCGAATTTCCCTCAGGTAGCACGCATTTCCCTGGAAGTGCTGCTGCTGTTGCTGCTACGATTTTCCTACGCCGAAGACACCGCCCCCCATTTTACACCCAAAGGCCGGCTGCCATTTTTACACAAAATTTGAATACCCGCGGCACCCGGGACAGGTAAGCCCAGCAGTCCCGCTCTCACCTCCCGCTCTCTACCTGTTACCCGCCGGTTAATGGCCCATAATTTACTACGCAACTCGCCCGATTTGTGCATAATATTAAACCATTTTGAATTCGCCTTGCAACAACTCGAAACTCGAAAAAATCGTACGCAAAAAAAAAGAGCAGAAAACAAAATGACTTAAATTGCCATTTGCGTTGCCTTCGGTGGAGTTTCTTCTGTTGACGGCGGAGAAAAGGGGGCTTCATGGGGAGGAGATCGCCACTGCGTGAGTGCGAGATGATCTGGGGCCCCGAAGAGTGGTTCTGATAACAGTTGAAAATGCGCGATTTTACATACGAATTGCCAGTCCAAAGATGAAGGAGCGAATGGAAGCGATCTGAAGTAAGGCGGCACGTAAAAAATGGGTTCAGGCACAGTGGGCTAGGGAGGGTGCAAAATGTGAAGAAAGGTGTGTGCCCTTAACATTATATTAAGTTTAAATAAATAAATTGAAAGATTTTAATTAATATTATATTAAATGGAAGAAATAATATTTTAAAACCCTTTACAACAACATTAGGCTTACTAAACTTCATCTTGCTAAATTTGTTTTAATTTCTAAAACAAAGATTTTAAATCTTGAATAATATATAGTGATTTTAAATAGTGACAGACATTTTATAGTATTATTAACGAGTAATTGAGCATCTAACACAGAAACTAAATATAAGTATAAATGCCTATTTATTAAAATGATAAAGTGTTTACTTAGCCCATTTTATAAATTTTTTTAAGAAAATCTTAAATCTTGAATGTATTATAATATTTATAAATGACAAGGTTTGTTAGTTAATAAACGAATATTTTCTATTATAAGTTAGTTGCTTTTTAATCATCAGACACAGAACCTCAATATTTTAATTCTTATTTCTTCAAAAGACGTTGAACTAGTTCTTAAACTCACTTATAATATAATTATTATTCTTCTCCAAACTTTTCCAATATATTTAGCTTATATTTATTTATTTTATTATATTTATTTAACAATAAAAATAATATCATATAAAATCAATTTCTCCCCAGAAATATTATTATAACTAAATCACCCTTCCACCCCACTGTTCCATCCCAGACCAAGTTCAGTGCTATCAAGTTCTTCCCACCTCATCCTCATGCCCATGTTCAACCTTATCCCCAACCACTCGAAACATCCTGAATTGCAATTTCAGTCTGGCTGGCTGTTGATCTTATATCTCGACCACGAAACTGGGACTTGGACTGCTGACCGATGAAGAGAAGAAGGAGGAGTGGGCATGGCTGGATGGATGGATGTTCCTGCTCGATTCAGCTTGATTCCGAACAAATTACAATTCATTCTGGTTTTCAGTTTCATTACAAATGCAAAAATGCAAAATGGCAAGCCGGCCATTATCTCGCTGTCTGCGGATGCCTTGGTACGGGCTGGATGGGATGCGATGTCTGTCTGGGATGTCTGTCTGTTGATCGATGATCGCTGTGCCCGCCGCCGATGATCAAGTTTTGTGTATCGTTTGAGGCGTACATGCGTAAGTGCCCCTGATCCCCTCGGCACCGTGTCCCCTCGACTCCCCAAAGCAGTTGCATTCACAGATCGGGGCCAATGCATTTGAATTTGTCTGGCCGGCAGCCAAATCGATCGACAACCAATCAGCCCCAGTCCAGTTCGGTCAGCCATCATGCCAGTTAGTCAACGTACACTGAGACAATATTAGTAGGTAAGTGAACAGGATTACAAGAAAAGGATGATAATAAAGAAAATTACAGCTCAATCCTTAGCATACAAAATCATATAAATTATTAAATTAATTAAATACATTTTCTATAGTTTTTAAAAGCTGTAGTCCATTTCTGTATGCTTTTGTTTGATTAACTAAAAACACATTCCGTTCCTTAAATTGATATAGGCAGACATCTAAAACTTTAGCAAAATAGAATCTCAGCTGAAGTTACATGTCTTTAATTCATTAAATATATTATTAAGACAAAATATTATTACGTTATAAGTCTTTAATTTATGAAATATATTATTAAGACAAAATATTCTCTTTGCATTTATGATGAAATTGTGTATCAAATGATCTTAAATTTCGGAATTCGAAGTAGATATTATTAGGTATACATAAGTCTTTCATAAGCAAACCGATGACATTTTGCTGGGCCAAGTTGAAGTCCATAAAGATGTCATTTTGGGACACCAATATATTAAATAAATAATATAATTAAATATGTTTTTACATCAATAGTTTAACCTTAAACTTCTTAAAGAATTTTTTGATCAGTGTCCCTTTGGGTTTGCTGCTTCTGCTGCTGGCAGTGGCAAACATTTCATTTTTCACGATCCACGAACCGTCTCTCTCTCGTATTCCCAAGAGCTAAATCAATAAATTACGTGACAGGCATGCAGAAAACCTGATGCCTCCAACTTTGCTTTAGCTTTAGCTTCAAGTCCACTTCTTGATCGCCGTTTGCGTTTTGCTTCGTTTTGATTGAATCAATCAAAAACTTGTGCATTTATATGAAAAATATTAAGAAGTTGGTAAAGATCAACAGAATGAAGCGGGAATACCCTGAAGTGAGTGAATAAAATAATGGTAAATTTGGACACAGAAACAAGCCTGAGGAAAGGAGCAAGGATATTGATTTATCTTATTATTTAATAAAGAATTGGCAATCTAGATACTGATTAAAAAATCTTTAAAAATATAAATAAAGTTCGCAAGGTATTTTTAAATATAACTCTTTGTTTGTTATATAAAATTAAACAAATATCTCAAGAATAAATATAAAATACATAAAAAATAGTTAATATTTTAAATATATTTTCTTTTGTAAATGTAGTAAATCTCCTTTAAGATAGTGTATACAAAATATATATGCCGGTGAGCATGGAGCTTGCATACATATATCGTTTGCAGATCTTCTGGCGCTGCCATAACATAAATTATTATTATATCTTGCCCAATGGCCGCTTCGGCAGATATATGTATTTTAAGTTCTCCATTTACCATCCTTGCCCCCCTTTTTTGCAGCGTTTTCACATTAAATTTGATTGGTTTTCATTTGTTGCGAGCAGGAAATGCTCAATAAAGTTCTTAAACTCGGTTTAATTAACTTTGACAAATTGAACTCGGTGGAAAATGGTTTTTCCTAGGGAAAATAATCGAATTAAAAGCCGAAGCAGCAAAAGTCATTGCCAAGGAGCGACATCCCCTCAATTAGTAATAAATAATTTGAGTTTGGTTGAGAAAGTTTTCCTCGAGCTAAGCGATGCATAATCCATGAAAGGGCGCCAGCAAAGTTCGGGAAGCCAAGAACTCAACTCTCGTCTCTGAAAAGCCAAAAACTGGAAGCCAAACGGGTGCAGGCCATGGCCAATCTCCACTCTACCACTCTTTCTATTAATGCCGCTCCATTGTGCGGCAAAGTCTTCATTGATTTGGATTTCTTGTACCGAGGAAAATCGCCTTAGGCCGAAACTTTCACAGGAGTATTGCCCAGGACAGGACAGCTCAGGAGTATGTATTTCCCGGGACAAGGCGGACAGGCAAATAAATGGTCATAATCCCGGCCAGACAAAGGCTACTGTTCCTGCTCCTGCTCCTGCTCCACCTTAACCCATAACTCATCATGTCTGAGGCAATGGGGGTGTATCTCGAGTCTTTTATGCGTTTCATACATTTGATTTATTCCACATGCAAATTGCGGTATACAAAAATTAAGTCGTTGGAAATGTTTTATTCCGAGAAACGTTTTGCGTCGTCTTTCCCAAAGCAACTAAATAATAATTCGCCTCAAATTCGAATGCGCACGTTTTCACAAAAGAATAAGGCGTACAAAAAAGCCATAACATGGCCCAAGGCGCCCCAACTTGGCTTGGCAGGAGGGAAAGGGGGTTAATTTCACCCCTTCTCAGAGCCCGGGGCACAACCCGCTCTTACAAATAAATGCATGAAATTGAATATCAGAGACCCAGAGCATTTTTGACAGAGAAACTGAGAAGGTCTCCATCACCATCTCTCTATTTGGCATTGTAGTTGTAGCTATATTCCATGGCTCGGCTCGGTGTTCTGTTTATTTATGTGTTTGCGCCTATTTATTTATTTTAATTAAAAGGGGCACGTGTTGCTGTTTTCTTGTTTTCTTTTTGCCACGGCAACATTGCGCCCCGGAGAAATTGAGATTGCCGATGGAAAAGCCAGGAAACGGGGCAGGGGCGTCGTGAGGTGTGGTCTCATCTTTTTTTTTTGGGGAGGAGGAAGGGGTGGGAACGGGTTGTGGCAAGTGCAACCGAAAAACTGTATCAATGACAACCCTGAGAATTTTCCTGAAATTTAATAAGCTCTTTGGGGGAGAAGAAATTCATGCGGTTGTAAAAAACTAAGATAGATATAATTATAAATCGCATTAAATATTTCCCAATAAAAAGTTAAATTTAAAAGGTAATGTTACTTTTATAAAAATATAATAGAAAATTAATTTGTGGTCTGAAGTTGTGAAAATTCCTTATACAAATCTGCAACTTTTTATACCCTTGCAGGGTATTATAATTTCAGTCAGAAGTTTGCAACGCAGTGAAGGAGACGTTTCCGACCCTATAAAGTATATATATTCTTGATCAGCATCAACAGCCGAGTCGATCTAGCCATGTCCGTCTGTCCGTCTGTCCGTCTGTCCGTCTGTCCGTCTGTCCGTTTCTACGCAAACTAGTCCCTCAGT